CGGGCATTTCAGCCGCCGACCCACGCGACCCACGGCCACCAAAGCCATTCTTCCCCGAGCGCTTCAGCTATTCGTGGGGGCCGCCATCTTTTCTCGTGTGACCCTTGACCCCACGCCCTGGCGGAAGAGACCCGCCATCGCGGCCATGTTTGTTACTGGTTGAAGGCAAAATTTTTGAGGGAAGCCCACAGATCGCGAGATCTGGCTGCCTGTTCCCTGCCCATTAGCGGGAGAAAAAACTGGAGGGCATCTACCTCAAGAACTCGCGAGTCCTTCTCTCTGCTCGACCTCTCTCTGTTTCCTGACTTTCACGGGCCTGAGTCATTTCTCACTTGGCTTTGCTGCAGCTGTCCCTACTTCCATCTGCTCCCTTCCCTGACTCTCACCTCTAAAATGAGCTACTTTAAAAAAAGAAAACTAGCGCGCTGTAAATCCCAGCCTTGTGGGAAACTGAGGCAAGAAAATTGCAAATTCGAGCCCAGCCTGGACAATGTAGCGAAATAGGGAGACCCTGTCTCAAAAAAACAAAAAACTAGGGAATGGGGTGAGGATGTGGCTTAGTGCTTAACACCCTGAGTTCTAGCCCCAGTGCTGCAAAAAAAGAGAAAAATACATACCCGCAATGTTTTTTTTTTAAAATAAGATGAGGAATTTGAATTTTATGGCTTGCAAGCAAGCCATTGTGTCCCGTGAGGGGCTCACCGAGAGCGAACTCTCCCCCAGATCCTCATCACTCCATACCTGGAGCTCAACCCATTCTAATCCACTCCCAAGACCAGATCACAGTGTTGTCCTGGAATGAGCCTTTCGTCCATTCTGAATCGAGGGTACTCATGGGGTGAAATGTGGGTAAAGTTTTACCATTCTTTGGAACTATTTTGGTTTGGTTTGGTGGTTTTGTTTTGTTTTTTGAGACAAGGTCTCACTGCATAGTCCAGACTGGCCTTGAACTCATGGCAGTCCTCCTGCCTCAGCCTCCCAACACGGCTGGGGCAAATTCTTCCGATGTGACATCCTCTTGGAGTTTGTTGTCCCAAGTGTGTGCCACCTGTTTTTAAATTTTTACCCAAAACCTCAGATGTGGAGCCACATGCCCGCTGCTTGGGAGAGAGGAGGAGCTGGCAGCCCAAGAGGGAGCTTTTGCTCAGGGAGGTCGGGGCCAGTGGACAAATGCCACCACTGTGGTCCCTTCTGTCTCCTGCCCGGCAGTCATAGCACAATCGGGACCCCTTGGGCCACAATAGTGACCAACACTAAAAAACAAAACAGGGCCTGAGATTTAGCTCAGTGGTTCCACTGCCTGCCTTGCAATCACAAGGACCTGAGTTCGATCCCCAGTACCAAATAAATAAATAAAAAAGCTAGGCGTTGGTGTACACCTGTAATCCCAGCACTCAGGAGGCTGAGGCAGAAGGATCACTGTGAGTCTGAGCCCAGCCTGGGCTACGTAGTGAGTTCCACCTGCCTCACAAATGCAAGGACTGGAGTTCCATCCCTGGCACACACAAAAAAAGACTTTGGGGACGGGACATCACTGCAATGTGAATTTTGGCCACTTGAAGGCAGCATTGGCCCATCCTTGATCATAGAGAATCAGGACACACCTGCCTCAAAGTCTGTCTGGCCAATCAGGAGTGGGAGTCATGGTCACAGTTTTTATTTTATTATCAAAATATGGGGGGATCTTGTTTGTTTTGTCTTTTTCAAAACATGGATTTCTTTTCTTTTGAAGTATTGGAGATTGAGCACAAGGTGTTCTGGCCGAGCTGCAGGTCTAGCCCTTTTTTTTTTTGAGACAGGGTCTCTCTCACCAAATCAATAAGTTGCTCCCGCTGGGTTCAAATTTGTGATCCAGCTGTCTCAGCCTCCAGGATTACAGACATACGCTCAAAACTTGATTGGTTTTTGTTTCTTTTTTGTTGTTCATTTGTTATTTTTGAGACAGGGTCTCACTATCCAGCAGAGGCAAGCCATGGGTCACAAACTTGTCAGTCTTCCTGCCTCAGCCTCCTGAGTGCTGGGATTACAGGTGTATGTCACCAAGCCTGGCTCAAAACCTCATTGGTTTTATAGACTAGTTTTGTGCTGCCAAGTACAGTACTTGAATTTTGTGTAATTTTTTGCTGGTAAAGATGGTCAAACAACAAAATTAGCTGTTATCCCAAAATATCAAAATGTGTGTAATGTTAGCCATGCTAAATCTACTCCTAAAATGATGTTTTCCTATAGATATTCTACTTGCTTTGACTTTTTTTTTTTTTTTTTTTTTTGTACCAGGGATCAAACTCAGGACCTTCTACTTGTAAGGCAGGCAGCAGCACCACTGAGCTAAATCCCCGGCCCAGATTTTCTATTTATTTATTTTTGTTTTGTTTTGTTTTTTGAGACAGGGTCTCACTATGTAGTTCAAACTGCCCTGGAACTCACTGTGAAGCCCAGGTTGGTCTTGAACTCACAGAGATCCTCCTGCCTCAGCCTCCCAAGTGCTGGAATTACAGGTGTGCGCCACCACGCCCAGCTTCTATTTAAAGAGACAGGATCTTTCTGTGTTACCCAGGCTCAAACTCCTGAGTTTACGCAGCCTTCCTGCCTCAGCCTCCCAAGTCACTGGGACTAATAGGTTGGGCTACTGCACCTGGCTGTCTCTGATATACTGAGGTGGCTGAAACTGTGCAGCCTGAGAAAATGAACTTAATTAGCTTTCAATGGTTTAATTTATACTGTTAATAAAATTTAACTGTACAACTAATAAGCCATGTGGTCCCTTTGAAAACAAATTAAACATTATATATGAATAAGGCTAAAACTCCTTTAAACACACACACACACACACACACACAGCCACAAAACATTATCCTTGTTTCGTGTTTTTTTTTTTTTTTAGCTCAATTTCACCCCACCTGCCTGGCAAATGCAAGTTCCTGAGTTTGATCCCCAGTAATGGGGAAAAAAAAAGAAAGAAAGAAAACAGTGGAGCCAGGCATGGATTGCCGTGAGTTCAAGGCCAGCCTGAACCACACAGTGAAACCCTGTCTCAAAAAAAATCACCATCATCATCATAATTTCCATAAATACACAGGCCAACTTCTGGAAGCTATTTGCTTCTACCTCCTAATCTTGTATGATAAAGCAAGTTTTCAACTCTTGTGTCTTTATGACACACACTCATTTTCATTCCCTGCTTTGTTCTCTATTCTTACAAAACTGCCTTTGCTAGTCATAACATTGACTTACATATAAATTTAAAAATCTTCCTGTCAAGTAGCATTAAAAAGATCCCACTGGAATTTTGATTGACATTACATTCAGTTCATGAGCTAATTGAGAGAAAATTGGAGAAACGACGTCCGTATCTTGAGCCTTGCACTCCACAAAGGTGAGACTCCCTCCATCTCACCCGGATTCAGGCACCTGCTGCACAGATCCAGCCCCTGCTGGATGTAGACCATGTCCACTCCCCGCAGCAAATTTTTTTTGTACCTGGGATTGAACTCAGGTACTTGCGATTGTGAGGCAGGCAGCAGAACCACTGAGCTTAATCCCCAGCCCCCAATTTTTTTTAACACAACATCTTTCTGTGTAGTCCAGGATGGCCTAGAACTCACAGCGATCTTCCTGCCTCAGCCTCCCAAGTGGTAGAATTGCAGGCACACTCCCCCATGCCCTGCCGTTCACTTTTTGAGACCACTTTCTTCCACCTTTGGGAGGAGGGAAGGTACTGGGGCTCCAACCCAGCGGGCTGCCTCTGAGCTGCATCCCCAGACCTTTCCTTTCTTTTTTTTTTTTTAATTTTGCTTAATTGCCCAGGCTGGCCTCAAACTTGGCAATCCTCCTGCCTCAGCGTCCCTCATAGCTGGGATTACAGGCATGGGGCCCTACCTTAGCATGATGCATTATCTTTAAAATATTGTTACATTTTTAGGGGCAACCCACTTTCCAGTCCCTCTTCTGTCTCTCTTATACAGAAGCTTTCTTTCCCTCAATAAATTTTTCCTAGTCTTAACCTCTTGTGTTCCTAGAATTCTTTCTTTGATTTTAAATAACATGAACTTGTGTTTTTGGTATTAAGTAGGTTTGAAGAGCGTTACCTCTCTTCCCCCTATATTATTTTGGAAGTCTTCTGCTGAGATTAGTGGTCAGAGTATTTAATTCAAGGCACTTCCCTCCTCTGGGGCTGCTGGATTTAAGACAAAGCTTCCAGAATATTCGAAGACTAAAACTAGAAAGGTAACTGGGCTATGAGGACACCAGTATTTTGACTCTGGCCCCTCAGGGTCTACAAGATCCAGGACACAAAGGAACCTTTCCTACAGGATCCTACATCTTTGAGGCTGCCAAACTCCAAGAGGTC